ACCCCACTATTTGTCCATACTGTAATACACCACTGGTTGTCCATACTGTAATACACCACTGGTTGTCCATACTGTAATACCCCACTAGTTGTCCATATTGTAATACCCCACTAGCTGTCCATACTGTAATACCCCACTAGTTGTCCATACTGTAATACCCCACTAGTTGTCCATATTGTAATACCCCACTAGTTGTCCATACTGTAATACCCCACTAGTTGTCCATACTGTAATACCCCACTAGTTGTCCATATTGTAATACCCCACTAGCTGTCCATACTGTAATACCCCACTAGTTGTCCATACTGTAATACACCACTGGTTGTCCATATTGTAGTACCCCACTAGTTGTCCATACTGTAACACCCTACTGGTTGTTTATTCTGTAACATCCGACTAATTGTTTATTCTGTAACACCCCACTGGTTGTCCATTCTGTAACACCCCACTGGTTGTCCATTATCATTCTGTAAAAAACAAATGGTTATCCATTCTGTGAAACCCAACTGATTGTCCATTCTGTAAAACACCACTGGTTGTCCATTCTGCAACACCCTACTGGTTGGCAATCTTTCACATCCAGCTAATGGTTCACATCAAATCCCACACTTTGTGTAGCTTTCTGTCACATCCTACTGTTTGGTGATCTGCCTTTTCCCACTGGTTGTCCATTCTTTCATATATAACTAGTTGCCCCACTGTCACGTCCCAGTAGTTGTCCATTCTTTCATATCTAACTTGTTGGCCCGCTGTCACGTCCCAGTAGTTGTCCATTCTTTCATATCTAACTTGTTGGCCCGCTGTCACGTCCCAGTAGTTGTCCATGCTTTCATATCTAACTGGTTGGCCCACTGTCACGTCCCAGTAGTTGTCCATTCTTTCATATCTAACTTGTTGGCCCGCTGTCACGTCCCAGTAGTTGTCCATTCTTTCATATCTAACTTGTTGGCCCGCTGTCACGTCCCAGTAGTTGTCCATTCTTTCATATCTAACTTGTTGGCCCACTGTCACGTCCCAGTAGTTGTCCATTCTTTCATATCTAACTTGTTGGCCCACTGTCATGTCCCAGTAGTTGTCCATTCTTTCATATATAACTGGTTGTCCCACTGTCACGTCCCAGTAGTTGTCCATTCTTTCATATCTAACTGGTTGTCCCACTGTCACGTCCCAGTAGTTGTCCATTCTTTCATATATAACTGGTTGTCCCACTGTCACATCCCAGTAGTTGTCCATTCTTTCATATCTAACTTGTTGGCCCACTGTCACGTCCCAGTAGTTGTCCATTCTTTCATATATAACTGGTTGTCCCACTGTCACGCCTCAGTAGTTGTCCATGCTTTCATATCTAACTTGTTGGCCCACTGTCACGTCCCAGTAGTTGTCCATTCTTTCATATCTAACTTGTTGGCCCACTGTCACGTCCCAGTAGTTGTCCATTCTTTCATATCTAACTTGTTGGCCCACTGTCACGTCCCATTAGTTGTCCATTCTGTCATATCTAACTGGTTGACCCACTGTCATGTCCCAGTAGTTGTCCATTCTTTGAAATCTACCTTGTTGTCCCACTGTCATGTCCCAGTAGTTGTCCATTCTTTCATACCTAACTGGTTAGCCCACTGTCATGTCCCAGTAGTTGTCAATTCTTTCATATCTAACTGGTTGGCCCACTGTCACGTCCCTGTAGTTGTCCATTCTTTCATACCTAACTGGTTAGCCCACTGTCATGTCCCAGTAGTTGTCCATTCTTTAAAATCTACCTTGTTGTCCCACTGTCATGTCCCAGTAGTTGTCCATTCTTTCATACCTAACTGGTTAGCCCACTGTCATGTCCCAGTAGTTGTCAATTCTTTCATATCTAACTTGTTGGCCCACTGCCACGTCCCAGTAGTTGTCCATTCTTTCATATATAACTGGTTGTCCCACTGTCACGTCCCAGTAGTTGTCTGTTCTTTCATATCTAACTTGTTGGCACACTGTTTCGTCCCAGTAGTTGTCAATTTACGTCCCATCACATCATGCTGGTTGTCCACTCTGTCACGTACATCTGTTGTCCACTCTATAAATCCCTTTGGTGGTCCACTCTATGAATCCCTTTGGTTGTCCACTCTATAAATCCCTTTGGTGGTCCACTCTATGAATCCCTTTGGTTGTCCACTCTATAAATCCCTTTGGTGGTCCACTCTATAAATCCCTTTGGTTGTCCACTCTATAAATCCCTTTGGTTGTCCACTCTATAAATCCCTTTGGTTGTCCACTCTATAAATCCCTTTGGTTGTCCACTCAATAAATCCCTTTGGTTGTCCACTCTATAAATCCCTTTGGTTGTCCACTCTATAAATCCATTTGGTTATCCACTCTATGAATCCATTTGTTTGTCCACTCTATAAATCCCTTTGGTTGTTCACTCTATAAATCCCTTTGGTTGTCCACTCTATAAATCCCTTTGGTTGTGCACTCTATAAATCCCTTTGGTTGTCCACTCTATAAATCCCTTTGGTTGTCCACTCTATAAATCCCTTTGGTTGTGCACTCTATAAATCCCTTTGGTTGTCCACTCTATAAATCCCTTTGGTTGTCCACTCTATAAATCCCTTTGGTTGTCCACTCTATAAATCCCTTTGGTTGTCCACTCTATAAATCCCTTTGGTTGTCCACTCTATAAATCCCTTTGGTTGTCTACTCTATAAATCCCTTTGGTTGTCCACTCTGTAAAATCCTATCGGATGTCCACTTGAAATGTACCACTGGTTGTCCTCTTTGCCACATCACACTGGTTGTTCACTGTGTCAAGTTCCTCTGGTTGTCCCCCCAGTGACATGACACTTGTGCACTCTATGACATCACACTTGTGCACTCTGTGACATCACACATGTTATCCACTCTGACATCACACTAGTTGCCCACTCTGACATCACACTCGTCCACTCTGACATCACACTCGTCCACTCTGACATCACACTGGTTGTCCACTCTGACATCACACTGGTTGTCCACTCTGTGACATCACACTCGTTGTCCACTCTATGATGTCACACTCGTTGTCCACTCTAGTCATCCACACTGTTTCATCCTTGTAGTTAGCACACTGTAAGGTCCAGCCTACTTTCCGCAGGGTCATATCTCATTGGCTGCCCATCCTGCCATGTCTCATGCTTGCCCAGTCTGTTAGTTACCATAAGTTGCTCATCCTGTTTGCCCTGTGGATTCCGAGGTTATAGGCCCACTGCCCCTTTACAAGCAGATTGTCAAAGTTGACTAATTATGGGTATTTCATTCATCAGCCTGACAGGTGAGCAACCGACTGTATTCATACAAATACGCCAGATCCGAAAAATGGATGTGCACGCAAAACTCACAAAGTTCTGGGAAAAGCTAGAAGTAGCTGAACAACTCAAACTCTCCTCTGGAGTTTGCGGCCAGTGAAGTCGGAAAAGAAGCCCTCCTGTGAATTTCCATTGGTTGTCCATCCTGTCAACTACCATTGTTTATTTGCTGTTTTAAAAGGTTAAATGTGAAAGGATTGACTTCATTGCTCTAGGGTTTATCCTATTTGGCTAAGTATCTCTACACAACGGCTAGGCGCCTGCTGAGAACTTACACAAATAATGAGCTCCTTAGTTCCGGTGACGATCCCCAGGATCTACATAACAGTTGCACTCATGAACCTAACGACGTCGCCGTGAAACGAATCCACGACCTTGAGAGCGCTTGACTACTTCATCACGGAGACCCTCACTGCTCTGTTGTATCTTAATATCCACTCTGCCATATCATGTGTGTTCTGTCATACCCCTACAGGTTGTATACGTGTACACAAAACAAGTCGGCCGATGTGTATATCCAGTCTGTCCTGCCTCATTGATTATCTGCTTCATCTCCGGATATCTAGGATATCCACTTGTATCACACCCCTTTGGTTGGCTGCTTTGTACACATATTGATGTCTGCTTATTTTTTCCCCACTGGATGTCCATCCTGTCACAGCCACTGACAGTCCACTTATGATATGTTGGCTGTGTTACAGCATAAGTCAATCCCAATCAGCACAAAGAGACATCTTATTAAAAGCATATTTATTCCAACTCTGTGCTACCAGTGCCAGACATGGTCACTCAAAACAAACCATAAAAGAAAATTAGTAACCATGGAAATAAGATGTATGAGAAGGGCTGTAGAAGTGACCATAAGAAGTAAGCACGATGGAAGGATAACATCAGAGAAACTCTACAACAGCACGATGTGCCTATGGTCGAAGCGGCCAGAAGAGCTAAAAACAGAACCTTATATCTCCCTCGACACCCACAGCGCTAAAAGAGGAAGTGAAGAAGAAGAAGTTAACTTGTCCCAAAGATTGGCTGTTTGTCATCACGGGTTATTCACTTTATCTAATCTTACTGATTATCTGTTATGGTTTTATGTCATTCCTCACTTGTCTGTTGTCACATCCCGTCGATTCTTCACGTTGTCTCTTCTCCTTCTTGGATGGTCAGTTATTATCCACCCTGTTAGGTCCATGAGTTCCACTTTCTGTCACACCTTTATAGGTTTTTACCTTTATCACACTGCACTTGACTGCTATGACTGGTTGTCTGCTCTCACATCTTACCGATTGTCAGCAACTGTCCCAGTTGTCAGCAACTGTCCCAGTTGTCAGCAGCTGTCCCAGTTGTCAGCAGCTGTCCCAGTTGTCAGCTGTCCCAGTTGTCAGCAGTTGTCCAGCTGTCCCAGTTGTCAGCAGCTGTCCCAGTTGTCTGTCAGCAGCTGTCCCAATCATTTACCTATTATATGAGGTAAAAAGGAGGCTAGAAAAAAAAAAGGTGGGGGGTTTGTCAAATATTGTTCAATGCGAATTACTGCTATGAAGAGGTATCTATGAATACAACTCAGTCACAGTGTCATTTTATTGCAGGACACTGTTGATAAACAGAATAGGTTATCTAAACATGTCTGTATTGTAGTCATACTATGTGGATACTGTATACTTGTTGTGTTCTGTGTAGTTCTGGACAAGAGGTGCAGCGAGTGAGTGTCATCACAGATCTGCCAAACCTGCTGAGGGACAACAACGCTGAGTGTATGAGGAGAGTGGTGCCTAAAGTCAGGGTGAGTACTTGACATACTGTTTGGGAGGGGGGGGGGGGTAGGGTGCTGAACCCACCAGGACCTAGGTTCACACTAAAAGATCAGGCTCCAACAATGTGCACATAAGTAAACAAGATCTGTCAAATTATGTGCACACACAACACTCAAGTTTTGGAACAAGACCAGAGTACAGAAGTGGTTAAACAAATAGGACTTTCCGCAAGAGTTACACCCAGTGAATGCAAAAAAGAAGGAGGGGTAAGAGGAGGAGGAGAAAAAGGAAGAAGAAGAAGAAGAAGAAGCTGCTTAAGGTTCACTTTCTGTATTCCCAAATTTCTTTTTTATTCGTTTCACACCTTTTCCTCTTCCTATATTTTATAGTTATTCACATGCCCCCCCCCCCCCACCCCACTTCCTCCTCCTCCATTGAAGATTGGTGGCCAAAGTACTTTGCCCTTTGTTGCTGTTGTGGTATGTGGAGAAAAGCTGTGCTGCTGTTTTGCTTTAAATATTATTTCACTTTCCCCTTTCATTAAGCTTCTTAGTCGCAATTCCTTGGATTAATTACTTGCCTGAAAAGAATGCGGTGAATTTAATAAGTCAAATGTACAGATCAAATATTCAAATGTATTACTAGCATGGATTCCAAGGAAAATGAATAACTTGCAATTCTGGAAACTTGTACACACACATGTTTACATTTCACATCTTGTTTCTGGACTGTACAGCTGCTGCATGTTAACAGTGCTTCAGTTATATTAGTGCACCCTACGATTGTGAAGTTACCTGTTGTCCTGTGTAGGCAGGCTCTTCTTCTTGAGCTGGAGGGGTTGTTATTCATTCAGTATTTATTATCCAAGATTGGCTAATAAACAGCATCCTATCTCAGAAGCTGAAATATTTTGGTCATATCAAGCACCACGACTGATAGGAAAAAATTATAGCAGAAGGCATGGCACCAGGAAGGAGGGGCAGAGGCCGACCAACACGAAGATGGCACAGGATATAAGTGACTCCATGGGTATGAAAGTACATGAGGCGGGAGAGCTGGCGAGAGACTGGGTTTCTTTCAGGCAGACCGTGATCAGAGCGACGTTCTGCAAAAGACCTGCTACATGATAATTTATTAACTAATTTTTTTGTTGGATGGTAGCTCTATCCGTCTGCTTTCACCTCCGGGCTGCTACCTGAAGTTTAGTTACCCCTGCAACTTGTCTCCTGGATAGCAGGCCAGTCAGTCTCCTATTGTTCAGAAATTGTGGCCAGCTTTAAAAATCTATAACTCAGTATCTTCTGGTGTAAATTGTTAAAATTTGGCATGCAACTTGTTAATAACAATTTTTAAAATGTTTAAACAAACACCTAGTTGTAATTTTGTCAGGACGAAGGTTCATATGAGGGTTAATATGAGGTGTATAGGAGTAATAAAACAGACACCGGTTCAAAGCACTCAGGATGCTGATACTTCATTGAGTAACTGGGACTTTTCTAAACATCAAACAGCACGTGTTTCACATACTTTTCGCTCTCAGGTGGTCATGTCCAGCATTAGACTCTCGATAGTTAGATGAACAATTAATTATTAAATGCGTGATAAGCTATCAAAAAAATCACCATGCATCGCTGCACACGTGAATTGATTTTCCTACAATTTCCGCAGCGATAGGTTAACAGTCAAGTCATTGAACAAGAATTTCAAATGGATCGGGCACAGTTTAAATGACTGTGCAGTTGTAAATTATTAAATAATAAGGAAATAGGAAATCTAGGGCCACCTCCAAAATGTCACGCTAATTCCTACAGGAGTTTTCCAGTTAGAGTGTTACAATGTGTGGTCACGACTTTTAAAACGCACTATAAGAAGTTATTGTTAGGATACGTGTAACGGTTACATAAAATAATGCCCTGGTGTACCCTGCAGGTCTCAGCGGGTTAAGGATCAATTTCCTGATTCTGTTATACATTCTTCCCCTAACCTAGTTTTCCCTATAGTTGACGTTTTTTGCAGAGCGAATTTGCATAACGCGAGGCTTTTCTGTAAGGCAACAGTCGCATTATTAGAACACTTGCTGGTTTTCTGAGCTCCCTATGATTCGATTATCTGAGTGACTCTCTGTCGTTCGCCATATGGGTCCCCCCCCCCCCCCAAACACTTTCAACAGACCATTACTAAACTTTCAATGCACACAGTTTCTTGGTCGTCAACTGACAATCCCGTGTGCTTCACTGTGGCTCACAAATTAAAACATAAACGTTTCGGCTCGCTCAGACACACACGTGCATACACACACACACAATCGCACTTCTTACAGACCCACACACGCATACACGCACTGAAACATCCGCAAATGTGAGTCAGTCAGATGGGCTCCGGAGTTGAGAGTTATTGATTGACTTGATGTTTTAATAGGAAAATGGTGGATGCTCTTTTCCCGATCGTGTTCAACAAGAGCTGGCTGTAAATGCCAAGGGCGTACTGATAAAACTCCTGGGGAAAAGACATGAAAGAAAACAATTGGTCTGTGAATGCTCACTTTGCCAAAATTCCGTTACTTCATTAATAGAACATTATGCGTTGATAAATTGATGGTCTTTGCCTTAGTGTTAACTAATTTGTATAAAAGTCCCTTCTTCGACTACACAGACATGCATACACGTACATGCCCACTCACATATACACATGTTTATGACTGCGGTATTCCTATTAATACAGTAAAAGTCGCATACTTTTTGAGAATGTAAGTACTATGAGTTTTTGCTTGTAAATATCGTTTACTCTTTCATAATAATAACAGTCATGATATTAAATATCAAAATAATAGTTATACAATTAAATAATAATAGACAAACTTGAACATTGACGTTTTAGCTACATTTCAAAGAGAACAACTGGGGTCTGTAAGTTGAGGCCCTAGAGATGTGGGTATACAGAGGAATAGGTCGTATGTCATGGCAACAAAAACAGTCCAATACAGAGGTTCTGGAAAGGCTACAGATGAAAACCGAATTACTAAAAGAAAAAAAAAAAAGACATTTTAAATACTTTGGCTACATTAAAAAACAGTAACACACTTTTAAAAAGCAAACTAGAGGGAAACATCGAGGGCAAGAGAGCAAGAAGGCAACGGTACAAGTAGGAGAACAACAGACAGCAGTTAGAGAGAGTACAACCAGGATAATGGACAGAGCGTGTTGGAAATCCTTTGCAGCTTACCTTTAGTGTGGAGACGGTACCTGATTGATTGATTTTTAAGTCGAGTCCAGAGTCGTACATATCAGTGGGTCACATCCAGAGTCGTACATATCAGTGGGTCATGTCCAGAGTCGTACATATCAGTGGGTCACATCCAGAGTCGTACATATCAGTAGGTCACATCCAGAGTCGTACATATCAGTGGGTCACATCCAGAGTCGTACATATCAGTGGGTCACACCCAGAGTCGTACATATCAGTGGGTCACATCCAGAGTCGTACATATCAGTGGGTCACGTCCAGAGTCGTACATATCAGTGGGTCATGTCCAGAGTCGTACATATCAGTGGGTCACGTCCAGAGTCGTACATATCAGTGAGTCACATCCAGAGTCGTACATATCAGTGGGTCACATCCAGAGTCGTACATATCAGTGGGTCACATCCAGAGTCGTACATATCAGTGGGTCACATCCAGAGTCGTACATATCAGTGGGTCACATCCAGAGTCGTACATATCAGTGGGTCACGTCCAGAGTCGTACATATCAGTGGGTCATGTCCAGAGTCGTACATATCAGTGGGTCATGTCCAGAGTCGTACATATCAGTGGGTCACATCCAGAGTCGTACATATCAGTGGGTCACGCCCAGAGTCGTACATATCAGTGGGTCACGACCAGAGTCGTACATATCAGTGGGTCACGACCAGAGTCGTACATATCAGTGGGTCACGACCAGAGTCGTACATATCAGTGGGTCACGACCAGAGTCGTACATATCAGTGGGTCATGTCCAGAGTCGTACATATCAGTGGGTCATGTCCAGAGTCGTACATATCAGTGGGTCATGTCCAGAGTCGTACATATCAGTGGGTCATGTCCAGAGTCGTACATATCAGTGGGTCATGTCCAGAGTCGTACATATCAGTGGGTCATGTCCAGAGTCGTACATATCAGTGGGTCATGTCCAGAGTCGTACATATCAGTGGGTCACGCCCAGAGTCGTACATATCAGTGGGTCATGTCCAGAGTCGTACATATCAGTGGGTCATGTCCAGAGTCGTACATATCAGTGGGTCATGTCCAGAGTCGTACATATCAGTGGGTCACATCCAGAGTCGTACATATCAGTGGGTCACGCCCAGAGTCGTACATATCAGTGGGTCACGCCCAGAGTCGTACATATCAGTGGGTCACGCCCAGAGTCGTACATATCAGTGGGTCACGCCCAGAGTCGTACATATCAGTGGGTCACGCCCAGAGTCGTACATATCAGTGGGTCACGCCCAGAGTCGTACATATCAGTGGGTCATGTCCAGAGTCGTACATATCAGTGGGTCACATCCAGAGTCGTACATATCAGTGGGTCACATCCAGAGTCGTACATATCAATGGGTCACATCCAGAGTCGTACATATCAGTGGGTCACGCCCAGAGTCGTACATATCAGTGGGTCACGACCAGAGTCGTACATATCAGTGGGTCATGTCCAGAGCCGTACATATCAGTGGGTCATGTCCAGAGCCGTACATATCAGTGGGTCACGACCAGAGTCGTACATATCAGTGGGTCACGCCCAGAGTCGTACATATCAGTGGGTCACGTATATATTCATTGATGTCAGTGGGTCAAGGACTATCTTCCCAGCAGTGGCCCATCAGGCATATGATGCTACACTGGTTCATATGCTTCTCTGCGCTTGGTGGATGATGTCGTCAACTTCACTTTCTAACTTCCTACTTTCTTACGGGTCGACATGGGAGCCAAGGTCAGTATTTGAGCCTAACACCTTTGATCCGACAGGCCAGGGTTATCTCATGTTAATGCAT